TCATTTTTGTATTTTTAGTAGAGAAGGCGTTACACCATGTTGGCCAGGCTGGTCTTGAACTCCTGACCTCAAGTGATCCACCTGCCTCGGCCTCCCAAAGTGCTGAGGATTACAGGCATGAGCCAGCATGCCCACCTGCAAAGGTATATTTTTGAGTAAAAAGAGCAAGGTACAAACAAAAAATAGGGAAAATCTGGGTGTGGTGGCTCATTCCTGTAATCCTAGCACCTTGAGAGGCTGAGGTGGGAAAATCGCTGGAGCCCACGAGGTTGAGGCTGCAGTGAGCCATGTTTGCACCACTGCCCTCCAGCCTGAGTAACAGAGCAAGAAAATTAAAATTAAAGTTAAAAAACCAAAACCTAAGCATGACAATTGGGTTTTCATGTGCCTTCCTCAAAACTTGTTATGATATCATCACATCACCCATCTGATGTGAAAAAGAATAAAACCCGGAAACTCAAACTAAAAATATTTGCAAATCTATAATGTTATGCATTGTCCTGTGTCTTCCCGAAAAATAGTGAAGCCCTACGCCGAAGGGTCTGTGGATGGGACCTTATTTGGAAATAGGCTCTTCACATGTGATCAAGGTAAGCTGAGGTAATGAGTGTGAATCCTAATCCTGTGTGCCTGGTGTCCTTATAAAAAGGGGATGTGTGGACAAAGACACCTACCAAGGGAAGACAATGTCAAGACAGAGACAGAAGACCACCTACAAGCCAAGGAACTCTGGAGGCTCTGAGAATCCAGGAGCGAGACCTGGGCAGACCCTCCCTCACAGCCTTCACAGGAAAAACAAACAAACAATAAAAAAATCCCTTGATTTCAGACTCCTGGCCTCCAGAACTGTGAGAATAAACCTCTGTGGTTGAAGCCACACAGTTTAGGGTACTTTGTTAAGGCAGCGCTAGGAAATGAATGCAGATTTCTTGGGGCATGCATCAACACTTCTGAAGGAAATTTGGGACGTGGCATGCTTGAACTTACAATTCATACCTTTCTCTACTCTGAATTCTTTTTTTTGAGAGACAGGGTCTCACTCTGTCACCCAGGCTGGAGTGCAGTGGCACAAGCATGGCTCACTGCAGCCTCCACCTCCTGGGCTCCAGCAATCCTCTTGCCTCAGCCTCCTGAGTAGCTGAGACTACAGGCACATGCCACTGTGACTGGCTAATTTTTAAAAAATGTTTTGTAGAGATGGGGTCCTGCTACGTTGCCCAGGTTTACCTGGAACTCCTAGCCTCAAGTGATCTTCCCATCTTGGCCTCCCAAAGTTCTGGGATTATAGGTATAAGCCACTGTAACTGGCTTGCCTTTTTATTTAAAGACAGAATCTTGCTCTATCGCCCAGGCTGGAGTGCAGGGACATGATCTCAGCTCACTGCAACCTCCACCTCCTGGGTTCAAGCAATTCTTTTTT